ATGTCATGTGTATGCTGACGAAACCGACAGGGGAGATGGACAGAAGATGATAAGACATCACAGTACAACCCGATGCTCGGCTAATCTCCAAAGGAGGGGAACATCACTGGAGATAGAAGACAAAAGCCAACAATGCTGTAAAATCCTTCTACAAGGCTTAAATCTCTTGGAGAGGAAGATATTTCAGGTAGAAAATCCAAAGTCTAGTCTTCTAACGTCGACAATCCATTGAAAGGATAACAACACGAACAACGCTTCAGCTGGAAGGAGTCATGCTTAGCTGGAGGTACTGGGAACACCAACCTCTGATAAAGTGTGCGATACATTCTAACAAGTCTAGATTGCCCCTGGGACCCATATGGATGCCCCAAGTTACTGCTGACGAGCTGCATGATGCACGACGATTCTTGCGAATAGTTCACTTCTACAAATCCCCCAAGCTATCTGGTTGATGAGGAAAAACGTCTCAAGAGAGTTTACAAAAGACCTGGCATTCACCATGCTCTGGTGTCTTCAAACTCTTAGAGGAAATCGTCCAACCTTGACGTGATTGCCCCGGATCGACTGTAGTCGGCACAACAAAGTCTTCGAATTTTTGCCCCAGACGAGCAAACAAATTGGGAAAAGCAATAACTAGGAGAAGCAACCTGTCCATGCTTAAGGTCTTCAACTAACATGCCCCTGGATATGATTCTCTCGACGTGATCCGCCAATTACTCAACAAAGTTTCAAGCCTCAAAAGAGTAAACTCATCACTGGTGTTTATGTGAGCTTCCTTGACATCAAACGCATGTTTTGCAGTTAGAAAGAGTTTACAATGAGAATGAAAACTCTAATGCAACAGTTATGTAAGTCTTGAAGATTTTGAAAAGATATCGCACAAGTTGTGCGAGTTAGAGCATCATTTATTTTCGTATAGGAAAAACATATGATACCAACATAACTATTTGAAACTCATGGGAGTCAGGAACGATATCTCATTGAAGTATGCTTTCGAAATGACCTTGCTTCAATTAGGACTTTTGAAGGTTGTAATGTGGTCTGGTTTATGGGTTTTTTAGAAAAAGGTTTTAAGGCTCGAAATATTTGGTGCCCACCCATTCTTCATGATGTTCTCCAACTCTATGTTCGGTTAATTCAACATGAGTGTTCCTCTCTCAAAGGATTTTGTGACGGTAACATCTTCCTTGCGAATTTTGAACACTCAATCAAATTAACTGAAAACTACCCTGCCCCAGGTTAAAATTCAAGGTTTTTCGTATAGAAAAGAAACTTCTGCTTCAAAGGCTCAAAAGGGGTTAGCAAAGGATTATCTTCCTTATATCTCCGGTGTTTAGGGATTTGAAACAAATGCCTGTACATCATCAACAAGATTTTATTCAAAAGCATGCAACCAAAGATTTTGTGTTCTTTAGATCATCATCCCCCCTTTCAATCTCTGCCTAGGCAAGAGAATGGGCAATAAGTTGGTATCATAATGTCAAAAGAAATTTGAAATTTGAGAACAAATATGAGTGAAACGAATGAATTTCTTCAAGACAAACATACTCATTGTATTAAAATGATCATTCAGATGCAAATAAGTTCTTACATGCAAACAATGTTTTGATAAATAAGAAAAGCTACAAAAGCAGAAACAAGTTAATAATCTGGGAAGGCTTTCCACTTGAACTTACGAAAACAATCTTCAAAAATTCAAAGTCACCCTCAGTCGTGTTTACTCTTCGGCGCCTGTTTGATTTGAACTTCAAAACCAACGTCCTTGAATGACAAGATACCACTTCGGACCAACTTCTGAACCTCAATCTTCAAAGCAAAGCAACCCTCCAAGTCATGCCCACGAGCACCTTGATGAAAAGTGCAAGCCAAATCAGCTTTGTAGTTCCAATGTAACTTCTTAGGGACCTTCGGTGGAGGTCGGGTATGAACCAAATTCCTCTGCATCAGGATAGGGAACAACTCTGTATAGGTGATTGGAATTGAATCAAACTGGGTTTTCCTCTGATTAGGAACTTGCTGATTCTGTTGATGAACGTGATGATTCTGATGATGATTATTTCTTCCTCTGGTTCTCTTCTTGGAAAAGTCATTATCAAACTTCTTCACACCATTAGCTGCGCTACCCACTTCATATAAACATCCCTTTCCGACATCTTCTTCTAGACGCACTCCCACATTCACCTTGTCAGGAAGGTTATCAGGTGCATTAACCGTCACCTTTTCACGAGAAAAAGATTTTAGAGTCTCCATGAAGACTTTTATCCTTGCTTCCTCCCTCCTAGAAGGATTGACTTGGGCGGAAATCAGAATTTCAACCAAACCAGTTAAGTGATCCAAACTAGCTTTCAAAATAGTCACCTCTCTGCGGAGTTCAGAAACCTCGTGCTTGATGTTCTCCATTATCTCTTAGCGTCAGTGTTGTACTGGTGAGACCGAAGGAAAAATGAGACTCGGAAAAAGACTTTTGAAAGTGAGACAAAGAAAAATGTAGAATGATGTATGATATGCAAAAGAGAGTTTTATTTGACTTTCAAGGAACTCAAGATATCAAGTTATAAACAGATGAATTTTAAATTGGCTCCAAACATTGATCAAGTTGTCGTCAAGATCAATCATCCATTTTGGTGGATTAGGGTTTTCGCCCTATCGACACCCAAGATCCATTGAGTTTGACGAAACTAGCGATGTTTACAAAGAAAGACCTCCAAACTCCTTCAAAGTCAAGTGAAAAGAGTTTTATGGATGCATGAATGCATGGCGATGCAACAACCACAAGCAAGGTCAAAAACATGGGGTTTAAAGGTTCAACTTTCCGCATGGAGTCAAGGGTAAAAACATCCCCAAGGTATGTACTAAGGGTTTAATCACACCTGTAAGACAAGGTTCTAAGAGTTCCCAGAGTCTACGTTCCTCCTTCGGATATTGCCAACGTCTTGATTACTCGATAATTAGCAATATTCTCAAGAGAAACTCGTCCGAGCGTAGCGTCGCGTAACAACTACTTCCGAATTACTCCGTTATAGTCTCCGCGCTACACCTAAAAAGGCCAAGATGGGTTAGGGTTCTACGGTCCTCAACTTCTCGGGCTCCTAGGTCGAAAATAATAATGTCTTCCCGATTACTCGGTAAACAAATATTAAGTTCAAGAGGGCCTTCCATTGAGTGGGGGATCTCATGCCTCCTTCTTCGGGATTACTCCCTCAAAGTTAACATGACTATACCGCCCGTCCTATTCCTTAAGTGTTACTTAATCCGGGTATAGGATTCGTCCTTCAAAAAAAACCCAAACACCCCAATTTAAACATATAATCAAGCAAATCAAATAACAATAAAACAGATAAAACAAATTAGGCTGAACCCACTTAGGGATGGACCAGCAAGAGGTCAATCTGTCCCCAGCAGAGTCGCCAATTCTGTAGCGATAAAAATGTAGCGGGGTAAATCGGAGATCGAATTATTGATTAATTCGTCTCGCAAAAGCAAGAGTCGCCACCGCGCTTTATTGTTTCCAAAGGAAAAGGGAAAAGAGCGAAATAAAACCCTAAATATGCAATGTAAATAATAATAAAATACAAAGCGTTTTCGAAAAGAGATCTTATGGTTCGGGGGTTGGTTATACAATGGGAAGGTATTAGCACCCAATGCATCTATAGTACTCTATAGGAACCTTTTGAAATATCTGTTTTATTTAAAATTGATTGCTTGATTGAAAATGAATCGTTTTGGCCGAAAAAGGGATACGGACGGGTTTTTGAAAATGCGACGACCTAATGTCGAAGTTTTGGCTTAAAAGGTATAAGTCTTGAAAAGGTTGAAATTTTGAAGAAAGGTGAATATTTGAGGAAAATTAACCTAAGTTTTTAATGAATGAGAGTATTCGCTCGATCGTTTTTGAGGACATGAAGTCAACAAAAATTAGACTATTCCCTTTGGATTGGTGCGAACAGAATAAACAAGTATAATGAAATAATTGACAGAAAATGATACACAACAATTAAATGAACATGCATTTTTATATGATTTTGTTTAATAGGCGAAAAGAAAAAGTTTAATTAGTTTTCACTTTTTTACGCATTTTTAATGATAAAAGGTAATGAGAATTAATAGAAATGTTTTTTTAGATTTTTATATATTTCTATTTTTTATGTCTTTTTGTATATTGGTATTTAATCAAAATGAGGGGAATAAATTAAAGGAAAAATAGCATGTCTTTTAGTTTTCATTTTTTACTTTCACATATTTAGAGATATTAAATATTTTCAAATTAAATAAAACTTATAAATCAAATATCTAATTAAAATAAGGAAGACTAAAATTAAATAAACCTAAACTTAAATAAGATTTGGGTAAAGTGTTAAAATTATTTAATTAAAACTATAGGTTATTTCTAAGAAAAACTAATTAGTCTAAATTAAAATAAGTTAAGAATAGAATTAAATTAATAGTAAACAAAAGATGGGCTTAAGTTAAAAAGAAAAATGGGCTGGGTTAAGGGAAATGTGGAGCGGGTCGAGGGAAATGGGCCGGGTCGGGAAGACCCAGACCCAAAAGAAGAGACACAAAGCTTGTACGAAAAACCTAAGAAGGTTGAGCCATGGCCGCCGCTGATGGCTTCCATCCACCGCTGCCTTTCTTCAAAACCTCACGGGCAACTACATCAGCATCGACAACAGGGATGTCATGGGACTTGAATAACTTGGAAACAGTGCTCTTGCCACTTGCCATTCCACCGGTCAGTCCAACGATCCTCATTCCTTCTATCAATCACATGCACCCTTCCAGCTTGTCAGCTATTTATTCTGAGCTTTCTTTCCTTTTCCCAGGGAATCGAAATTGAGAAGGAGATGAAGGACGGAAGGACGATAGGGGTGGATGGCGCGGTTCGATGACAGAGATGATGGTGATTTCGTTGACCTCTTATGAATTTTTTATGAATTATGCGTATTGTGATGATTTCCAGATTTTTGAAACATCGTGACTGTTGAAACAGGTTGATGAAAATGGCGATTAAGCGAGGGATGATGAAGATTGTGGTTGCGGACTCTTGTAAGTTGGAACGCACTGATACTTCCAGGTAAAATTCTCATAACGACAGAAGTATCTTACAGTAATGCACATTAAAAAAAAATACTAAACATGTTGCAATCTGGCTTGAAAGCAGAAACATTGAGACACCTAAGAGCAAATTTGTTTTTGGAACTTTTGTACTAGCTTGATTCTCCTGGAGGCTTCTCCTTTGGATGTTTTGAGGCGTAATGATCAGCAAGTTGGTTTGGATTTGCAAGTTGGACCTTGCAGATTGGGCATGTGATTTTGAGACCTTCGGCTCTGGCTTCAATCTGAGAGCCTTTTGATTTCTGATTCTTCTCTGCGTTACGCTTCTGCGCTTCGATTTTCTGCTTTCCCCGCGTCATCCTGAGTCAAGATTCTTGATGTATCTCTGTGTAGCGTGCGATCGAACGAATTTCAAACTTCACCACCACGCACACAGAAATGGAAAACAACGGGGGTTGTGGAAACAGAGGTTAAAGGTATGCCTTCTTAATCTCTTTTTATGAAAAGTTCTGTGTCTAAATTGTTTCTAATATTGCGCGTATGTTGATTGAAGTAGAGAAACGACACGATGAAGATGATTGAAGTGAAGACGAAAATGTAGGAAGGAAGATATCTTTGTTAGATCGATGAAAACAAAGGTAAGTCAGTCATGCTTGTTTGTGGGTTTTGCCATTTTTATTGAATTAACGAGAAATTGATTAAAGAGAAGAAGCAGATTTGTGAACTTGTTTATTATTTCGAGTCGGCTTTAAATTAACAGTGCTTATGTGATTGTGCCGGTTTTGCAATATTATGAATCTTGAATTTTATCAATCAAATTATTGTCGGTGTTAAATAGGGATTAATGTGTTGATGATTCGCAATGATATTAAATGGCCATTTTCATGATTTCAGGAAATTAAAGAGAGGATTATTAAGTGAGACAAAGGCAACGCAACGGTATAAAGGTTTATGCGAAAAGCTGAAGAAAACTCACATGGTCGGAGCTAGTCCGACGGTACGATTCCGGCGAAATCAGGTAAGCTCCGAAGACTCCTCGCTCCTTGCTTTCTGCCACTAATTCTTCTCTTCTTCTCCGTCTAAAAAAACTGGTTGGAAATATTGAATAATGGTTTTTTTTTTGTGGTTTATTCGGTTTTGGTCAGTATGCTGGATGGTTTAGCAATATGCTCAAAAATGGTTTTACAATATGCAGGTTATGTTGAAATAATGGACTATATTTTTTTGGTAGTTTTGTGCAGTATGCTGGATGTGGTTCTGTTTGGGAATGGAATATGGTTTTTGATAGCAGTATGCAATGATGGTTATGGTGTGGAAATGGAATATGTTATTTTGCTTGGCTTAGTTTTGCAGTGATGTTCTGGTGTCTAGAGATATGCAAACTTAGACTTCCTTTTGAAGGGATTTTCAAATAGCCGTTGCCTCTTTTTGAGATGGCTCAGGTTTTTAGTATTTTAATATTTTCTGATGCTTTCACATATGCTGCTACATAGTTGACTTTATTCCCAATTCATGCTTAAAGCAAAACCTGCAAAAACTAAACCTCTTCTCTCTCTCTCCCAAGTACAGAAATGATATATATAAATGATATACTGTACATTTTCTGAAATTGTAATGGCCAGAAAATGATGACAAAAAAAAGGAATAGGTTGCTTGCATACATTATTTAAAACTGCACATTGTTTGAAATTTCATATTGTTTTTTTGTCTTGCATTAGCCTATATTATTCTGCTATAAGGGTACAGGTTAACGTTACTTGTTGTGTACCTTGCATATGTTTGTTTTGAAATTATGTATGCTGTGTGTACTTATGCAGTTTTGACCAAAAAATGCATTTATGCATATGTGAAATATGCAGTAGGCTTTTGATAAAAATGCAAATGATTTTGAAAATGTTATTTTTAATTATGCATTCATTTAAAAATTCCTCTCTTTTTTGTGAACCGGGAGAAATCCCGTGATTTGCAAAAAAGAGTAACTGATTCCGGCCATTGCTTTTAATGATGAACATTGAATTTATTTTCTGCATTTTAATTATTTATTCGAATTCTAATTTCTTTCTTTTGATCGTTTTTTTTTTTTGCAGGTAAAATTTAAATGAGCAGACAAAAAGTATTGGATAGAAGATTAGAATTAGGATTTAGGAAAATAGTTTTATTTTACTTTAAGCATTTATGTAATGGTTATTATAAATACTTTGTACAATAGTATTTAAACAACAATTGTAATAAATAGAATAAAGTGAATAAAAATTCTATTATTTCTCAATTAATTCCTTTTCTTTCCAATTATTTATTTATTGTTTATAATTCCTTAAATCATATAATGATTGAAAATCAAATCCAATCATTTAAATTCAGAATGACAAACAAATAAATAAACATCATTGACTAATCAACAAATTCAACTATTTAATTCATTATTCGTAAAATTCCAAATTATAATAATTAAAAATAGAATTTTAATTATTTAATCTAAAATGATAAAGAATTAAATAATCATTGTTGACCAATTAATAAACTCATTCTCAAATGCTTATTTCATTATTCATAAGTCTTTAAATTATATAACAATTGAAAAATAGATTCCAATTATTTAAATTTAAGATAATAAATAATTAATAAACGTCATTTAAATCTTGATCAGTTAATAAATTTAGCGTTCAACAAATAAACAGCTCCCGACTCGAAAAAGTTGTGAATTTTTACACTGCTTTAAAAATTTGATAAAAATGTGTCAAAACCCTTGTCATGCGAATGATGCAGATGGGAGACGGTATCTTAGGTCAAAATTTGGGGTACAACACTAGCCAACGATCTAAGGCATTTTTTCACTTCTTAAATAGTGGAGGAATAAGGAGTTAATCTATAATTAACCCCCTCGGGCCAAATGTTGGAGTTCTTTCTATTTTCCAAAAAACCCTTAACCTTAACCAGGAGCAGGGTAGATTTCAATTAATTCAATGATGCATTCTAAACCTCAAGAAAATTAGTCTATCTAAGCAATAGGTTCAAGCACATCTTCTTCCTCGCGTACATCATAAAAGATCGAGAAAGAAATGAAGATAAAGTTCATAACATTTTCTTCCTCATATACATCATTAAAGAAAATTCAACATGGTAGTCACACTGTTCTGAATTAAAAGAAAATTTTACAAGAATTATTCAAACAAAAAAAGATGTCCGCTAAGTCAAAAAAAGGGGAATTAAAAAAATTGAAGAAAAATTGACATAGGAAAAAATTAAGGCATCCCGATGGACCGATAAATTCAAAAGAACCGGTTCATGCAAAAATAAAGGATTGCAAGCAAAAAAATCGGGGAATAAGCTTGTGACTACCACCTCTACAAACATTAATGCTTCTCAGCAGTGCTTGAACCTTGTCAATGCTTTTGCTCATCATCGCGATTATGAAAATTATCTTGCAGACTGAATGCATCCATTGGATTAATCGAACTTAGGATTGGAGAACATCAAATAGAATGGAGTGGGTTAAAATAAATCTTGAGCCTTATATCTTTTGTTTTTTAAACTATGAACCAAGGCCGTGCTACAACCCTCAAAAGTCCTAATTGAAGCAGGTCAACTATGAAAGGATACTCGGCAAAATTTGTGTTAAACTGACTCTTATGTTTGTTAAAATTATTTCTAACCACTTCGCTTCTTCGCTTCTTCATCTCTAAATCATCCATTTCTTCTCCGTGAAAACTTCGATTTAAAAACTTGCATGTGCATCACTAAGAACTACTTTTCAAAATGTACACTTTTATATACGAATCAATACTTAGCATCAAGGAGATCTCAAAAATTGGTTTAATCAAAAGAGATCCTTTCCAGGAAGCTCCTAACTAGGGGCAAAGCATCTAATGAAGAACCATATAATCATAAGCAAGATTAATGATCGTAGGGGTATATTACATAAAGATCTTATTGACTAGGGGCGATAATTCTAAGATTCAATTAACTTGGGTCACATTTCAAAGCACCGTTCAATCAGGGGCATACCTTTGAAAGGGGCATTCCTTAATCAAGTCCATATCACAACATGTTAGGACTCGGTTTCCTATTTTGACAACTTCTCAAGGCCCTAATAATCAGGGGGAAACCTTCGAGACTCAAATGTTAGGGTAGTGCATATCAAGTTCATGGTGACGTCCAAGTACTTTCTAAGGGTACTTCCTCCAGATCCTGAAGATTGGGGGCATATCTTTCAAAATTCAAATATTGGTACAAAGCATTGCGAGGCTCAATTAAAAAGAGTTGATTCAAAATGGTTTATCAAAGATAAATATCTTCAAGAGTCCATTAAGCAAGGGCATAATTCAATATAGTTGGGTCATTCATATTATGATCAAACTACTTCCGAGATCATATCAAGGAGAATATCTACAAATCAACAAAGTGAGACAAGACCCTCACAAAGGGGAAGGTCTCTACGTACTTTCATAATCCCCAGTGGATATTTCTCTTACATCAGCAATATTCGGATTCAAAACGAATATTGGGAAATCATGTAAGCATAATGCTCTACCACCATGTGACAAGCAGCCTTATTACATAAGAAAATTCTTTGCACCTTAACCATCTATAACCCATCACAAGGGCCTCCGTTAAAAGCATATGAGTCTGCATAAATCATTCATTAGGTTACTTCGATCTAGAATTGGACTATACTTGTCATCTCATCCATATGAAGAATTACGCCATCATGGATCAGGCATATAAGAAGCTCAGTCATTCATTAGCATTTCAAAAATTTCAAAATCCATCGATACGTATCTATGCCACGCATTACATGCATTAGTCAATCATTACATACTACACATTAACACTTGCATCTACATGCATACATGTCTTTTTGAATCAGTCCCGACATTCAATACAATAAGAGTCAATTCATGTTTGATTTTGTGATAAGCTTGACTCTAAAAAGTCAAAGCTAGTTGATAAGTTTGCAAGTATGAAGATTAATTTTCACAATCTGAAAGTAATAAAAGTTGTTGCTGAAGTTAAAGAAGTAGGAAAATCCAAAGATGATCATACAGAAGACTCTAATGATCAAACTCCTATAAATAATATTCTGCAAAGACTATTGTGAAAGGATACACATAAGATTGATGGCCATGATAAGAATCTACATCTTCTGATGAATCTGTTGATTAAAATGAATGGAAGATGACAGTCCAAGAAGATTCAAATTAGATCTACGACTCGTTGAGAAAGGTGATTGTGTCGTATATAACTACACCAGGTTAGTGTTTATATATCTCTTTGACAAAAGTACTTATAGACACTTCTACAAGTTAGAAGTCATTCTATCAAGGAAAAGGTCAACATATTCTTGGTCAGATACAATATCCTTTGTAAAGATCTTTACACCCTGATACTAAAAAATCACTTATTTAATCAATGTTAGACTAAATTTATATGTTTGTCCATCTGACTGACGTGTACAATTAAATCTATCTAACATAGTTGGTAAGTTACTTTACTGGAAATTATGATCGTTAGCACTCTATTCAATACTTATCATAAGTGTTTGTCTTGTCTCGTTTCTCGCATCTTGGAACTCGTTCATATCTTTTTCTCCATAAACTTTCATTTATCAAGTTGTCATCCTTAAAATTCTTAGTTATCTAAACCATATCTCTTATACAGTTAGTTACGTTTTCCTTTCCTTTATTTAAAAGTTTTGATTACTTTACCTTAGTCATTCATCTTTTGCTCCTCACGAATTCAAGATTCCTTTTGGGTGATGATGATCTTCTTGTAATCATTAGTGAACATCGTCTAAATATTCCAAGGTCAATCGACAATAATCTGGGTCTTACATAGAATATATTTGCTCAAAGATGGTCCAATTACTTTGCCGTATTGACTGAACCAATCTATCTTGACCTAGTCAAGGACTTCTGGATGAATGCTGAAGTTAGGTTATTTGGCACTTCCATCCACTCTTCTATTTTTGGAAACCCATTATCATTACCCCGACATTGATTGCAGTTGCTATTGGCTATGCTCAAGATGGAGTTACTATAGAAGCCTTCGAAAACATATACTCTTTTGCTTATAGACTCTGCTATATTCATAATATCTCTGATGAATATGGACACATCAATCTTGCCAATCTTCTTCCAGCTACCTCAATTTGGTTTCAACTTGTGATATTAAACTTTAGACCTAGAGCATCAATATTGAGCATCCTAACCTATGATGTGTCTTCATCTACCTTCTCATCCATCATATTAAAATCAACTTAACACAATCCATTTTTAACTACCTAAGAGACTCTATCATTAATTCCATATCTAAACTCCAAATCTTTATACCTTTTGCTAAAGTTCTCTCTATTATTT